AGCTGCATCTGGCACGGGCCTCAGGCTGCTTCTACTCATGGCGGAAAGTGGCAGGTAGCTGCAGGGTACAAGCAGACCACATGGCCAGAGGAAGCAAGAGAGAGAGAAGAGGTGCCAGGGTCTTTTTAAAACAACCAGCTCTCGCTGGAACTGATAGAGTGGGAACTCACTCATTAATCCCCCCTCCCCCAGGGACAGCATTAATCCATTCATGAGGGATCCACCCCCATGACTCAATCAGTTTCCAACACTGCCACATTGGGGATCAAATTACCACATGCGTTTTGGAGGGGACAACACATCCAAACTCCATCACCAAGGATTCAGTGAAATGTAAACTTCCAAAATTGTGAAAACTTTTGCGCTTCTGGTCATCCTGTGACTAAAGGCTTCCTCCTCAGTGGTTCGCCATGGCTTTTCCTCATCCAGCCTCTCTCCCTCTCCCACTCTGTTCCACCGTGCCAGTTTGCCATGCCCCATGACCTAGAGGCAGTTGTCCTCAGCTGTTCAGCATATGCTCATCAGTATAGCAATGCCATGATATACGTTTTTCTTATTAAAAAATAAAAAAGGTATTTAACTTTTTGAAAAACAATAGATTTACATGGTTGAAATCCCAAAAAGTATAAAAAATTATTTAGGAAGAATTACCTTCCTTTCTTATCTCTGATTGTTCCCTGCTCTCACTGCCCAGCCACTGCCATTAGTTTCTTATGTATCATTCCAGAGTTTATTTGTGTACACACAATAAAACTTGACTATAGATTCTTGTTTTCCCTCCATTTTTACACAAAGATAGCATGTTGTACTCACATTTTGATAGCATGCTTTTCTTCACTTAACAATGTATCAGGGAGACCTTTCCTAATGGTACACAGAGCACATTCTCACTCTTTTCTATAGCTGCATAGTACGCTACCATATAGATGCACCGGAATTTATTTCACTGGTTGTCATTTGGGTTGTTTCAATCTTTACTATTTCAAATAGAGCTTCAATGAGTAACTATACACTATGTCATTCACATGTGTAAATACAGCAATGATATAGCCATTTAGTAGTTTCGAATGGGGTCTCTTACAGAAAACTATGGGTTAAAAGGATTCTCACCCTGGCATGTCAGTACTTTCTGATTTGGATGTTCTGTGGGGCACACTGTAATCCAGAAACCTGGGAATAACCTGATCAATATGCCTAGTAATAGCAGATATTGTACCCTACCCTGACACTTGTATTATAAATAGACTTGACTTAGAAAACTCCGTATTTTGCTCTCATTGGTTTTCACCAGAGTTGCCTGACTTCAAAAGATGTTTATTTGGCAAGAGGTCATTGGTAGCGTTTGCCGTCACTGGGCCTGGGCAACTTCATCCTCTTTTAGAATTCATTCTTCTTGGGGTGCCTTCTGGCCCTCTATGAAATTCTCAAATGCTACTGTGATCATGTTTCTGTAGACGGGCCCATCTTCGCTTGTGCCTGGAGAAATTGAAGGGGCTGGTGCCACTTGGTCCTGAATCAAATCGACATACTACGTTGAGTTTATTAACAAAAGCCAAATTGCACATAAAGGTAAGTGTATCCTGGGGATGTCCCTTTATCTTTGCCTGTCCAGTGAGAGTTTGTCTGTTGTTATGAGGGACAGAAAATGTATATCTCCAGGACAGTCCTCTCCTCTGAACTCTTTCACCCTGCCTCTTGGATGAATCCCATGCACCTCAAATGCTGCATGTCCAAAATTCAATAGAGTATGTCTCACCCCTGTGCACCAGAAGTTAAGCAGTCCATCCAACTGTCCATTTGATTGTACAAGCCAGAAACTCAGGAGTCCTTGTAAACTCCTGCTCCTTAGCCGTGTATATCTAAGCCATCTCCAAGACTTCAGTATTTCACGACCTGGTCTACTTCCACCTTCATCCCACCATTGTCTACTGCAATAAACTCTTCACAGGTCTTCCTACATCCCTCTGACCCCTTCTGGTCTACTTCCCATGCTTCCCCAAAACAATCCTTCCAGAGCACAAATCAACACACTACCCTGTTTAAAATCCTTCTGTGGCTCAGGACAAACTCTTCCACCAGGACTGCCCCAGGCTCTGCCTACCCTGGCCCTCACCTGTGTCTGCAGCAGCATCTTGTACCGTACACTCCCCTCTCTCCAGCCCTCCTCTCAGTCCCTTGCACTTGTCATGTTCTCTCACCACTGGGCCTTTATACGTGCTGTTCCCTCTGCTTGGTATGCTTTCCCCTTTCTTTTTCACCTAGTTAATGTCTACTCATCCTTCAGATCTCAGCACAAGTCTTGCTAGCTCAGAGAAGCCTTCACTGACCTTCCTGACTCAGTCACCTCCTTCCCGTGACAGGTGGTCCTGTAATTGGATATCTCTGTCTCTTAGCACTTGTCACATTCGACATTTGGCAGTGGCTTGTGTGACAATTGGGTTGACTCCATCATTAGACTGTAGACTCCACAAGGGAGGGGAGTGGGTCTTTGTGCTCACTTTGTATGCCAGCACCTCACAGAGTGTCTAGCACAAAGCTGACCCACAGTATGCAGCTTGGATAGCAAAGGCTAAGGTGAGTTGTATTCAAACTCCTGAGAGCCATAGCCAAAATTACTGCTCAGCATGTTTTACAGTCATATCTTGGCTGGACAAATATCACTTTTATTATGGTTATTATGGTTAGTAGCCTGTATGCGTGACAATTCTGGGAGAAAAAGAATTTCTATTTAAAGCAAAACGGCTTAATTAAACAATCTTCTTAATTATCTGAAGTATATGAGAAGATAGGGGGCAGATTTGTAAAAACAAGTAGTCTATGGAAATGTGTTTTCTAGACTCTTCTTTTGGACAATTTGGAATCAGGACTTCAGAAGGAACTGTTATTTCCTGATAACAAGCAGAAGATAATTGAGACTTGGCATGCCTCAAAAAAGTGCTATGTAATTGGGGCATGTACTTGAATAAACATAATTTTAAATGGAAGTGTGTCTCTTAAACTCCCATCATGTGCACTTTTCTATTTGAGAGAGATTAGCTGTTTAGGGGATCACTGCAGGCAAGGGAGACCAGGTTAGGGGTTCCTGCCTGCGGTCTTTTTGATACCAAAATTGAGGGGTACCATTTGTGCCCACCAGGATGCCAGAGTGTCAGAGCTCACCCCAGAATCCCTGTCACAGGACAAGTACTCTAGTGTTGTTGATACTGAAGAAGTTAGACAAAACCAGGAGTCACTGGCCAGTTAACTTGCTGTCGCAAAGAGAAGCCTGACAGGTGACACACCACATGGCTTCTGAGGAAAGCTGGCGTCTTTCACTGCTAGAAGGGAAGATGCAGTGTCATTGCCAATTTAGAAATCTCCCTGTGGGCTCTAGCAACTACCCCTTTGACTTGCAGAAACTTGAAGATTGTGACAGAAAAGCCATCCACCAAATAGACCAGCTTCAGCGAGAACAGCGGCACCTGAAAAGACAGCTGGAGAAGCTGGGCATTGAGAGAATACGGATGGACAGCATCGGCTCCACGGTCTCCTCGGAGCGCTCCGACTCAGACAGGGGTGAGCCAATCTGCTCCTTCTCAGCCCACCTCTGCCCCCTCCCTCTTCCTCTGGCACCTGCCAGAGGGATACAGTGCTGCTCTCAGGAGGCAGAGCATAAAAGGAAACAAGAAATTGTTGAGGGTTTAGGGAAGTTGAGGAGTGTGACCTCTACTAATAAGTCCCTCTTTCCTATTAGCAGTTAGGGAGCAGCATCCAAAGGAGGGTTTGATTGGGGTTGCTTTGATTTTCAGCCTGAGTTTTCTGCAGAATGCCTTCACCGGTGTCTCTCTCTTGTCCTTCCTGCAGAAGAAATTGATGTTGACGTGGAAAGCACAGACTATCTCACGGCTGATCTGGACTGGAGCAGCAGCAGCGTGAGTGATTCTGATGAGCGGGGCAGCATGCAGAGCCTGGGCAGTGACGAGGGCTACTCCAGCTCCAGCATCAAGAGAATAAAGCTGCAGGACAGTTGTAAAACGTGCCTTGGTCTATAAGAGAGTGGGCGTGGGGCTGCCTCCCGGATGGTTCTCCCTGTCGGATCTGATTAGGTAGTGTATTGGACCTGCCCACACGCTCTTGCATGTGAACTTCAGTGTACCACCTGTACCAAAATCAGTTCTGTCAAAGTTTTCAAGGAAGTGCTTAGGATTATGGGTTTCTGATTGCATCCACTAGCTTCTCTCTCTCTCCGTAAAAATTCGTCTCTGAGAGACTGTACATTCCATTCAATTTGGAGCACCCAAGAATTCTTAGACCGAGTAAGCAATTTTCATATCTCTGCAATTTCCCCTTCTTCTTTACTGTCCTCATGTAGTCTACCAGACTGTTCTTGAAGTTTTCTGGCTTACTATGTTACTTGCGTAGGAGAAATGTTGAAGTATGTCTTGTGCTTAGGAAACTGAAGAAAACAACTTTTAACGTTGAGATCCTGATCTCAGAACTCCAAAGTAAGCTTTGAAAGCAGCAATTAAGAGCACTTAACCACGGACCTCACCCCCAGCGAGGAAGTCAGGAATACCTCCAGAAAACACACCCTGCACACACAGTCCATGCTAATCCCCGACTCACGTGTGGATGGGAGCAGTATTTCTCACTTTAAAATGGGCACCTTGACAGTGTGTCTTTGAGGCTGCACAGCTATTAAAAGTTCCAACATTGTTTGTTCTCACAGACAAAATGGTATAATTGTTGTGCGATATTCTTGGGACCTCACTGTGTACTGCTATCTCAAGTCACATTTTCCCCTCAGAGTTTGTTAATGCTATTTGTCTCTGGAACATTTTTTTTTCCTACCTCAGAGATAAATGAGATCTCCATCTCCCACTTAACACAGTGATTATGCCTCCCCCCCTCCCCCCGCAATAAGTGACATTTGGTCCAATTCTAATGTATTTTCCTATTCAACTTTCAGCAATAACTGAGCTTTGGCACTAGCTGAGCTAGTGGCCATCATCAGTGAAAGACAAAGTTCACATTTCTACTCTCTGTGTTGCAGGTGAACAGGAGGGGATGGTACAGTGTTACTAGAATTCCTCTCCTTAATGATTATTTTTGGACACACCTGGAAACTTCTTTATGAAGGCTTTTGGGTTGATAGTTTAAAAGGCTGATTTTTCTTTTTGGTAATGATTTCTCACTTAAGTGGTCTCCCACTTTGTAGCATTTTTATTTAAGCTAAAACGGAGCACATGTATATGTACATAAGACATGTTAAATCTATAAATACTATTTATTCATTTTATATAAACTAATGTAATGGAAAATAAATTCTTATGACTTTGTGCTTTTATAGATGTTCTAGAAACTTTGTATGTAGGTATCTACAAAATTGGTTCATTCCCCTTAATATTTTTGCATTCATATTTTTGAGGTCTTGAAGTTTTCAGCCTCTGGCAAATCTTTTTCATTGAAATTGAACCATTTGTAAAACCTGTGACCCTGAAGCGGAGTGTGTGTCACCAAGTGATGAGAACATTCCTAAAATCCACAGGCACACTGCGACCTAAGGGCTCAACGGCTGACTCAGCAGCGGGCAGCCATCCGCCCATGCCCCGCTGCTGGCCCACGCCGAGCACAACACAGCCTCGCAGCTCCGCAGCCCACCAGCCTCCACACAACTGAGGTCAGAGTTCACGAGCACTCTGTACGGAAGCTCATTCTATACCTGAAGAGCGATCTAAACAAAGCAAGCTTGCTTCTGTGGGTTTTTTTTTTTAATGATTCTTTAATGTATTAAACATTTTTTAAAAATTGGAAATAGTGGATTCCTAAAATGATTCCAAAGTCATTTGTAATTCTTCTGTTTTCATTTGGTTCTGGTTTTTTCTTTTTTTTTTTTCCATTTCAACTTTGGGTGGGGGGAGGGGCAGGTGACACAAAGGATTTTTTTTTTTTTTTCCTTTTTGTCTTTTTTTTCGTGTCCGGCAACGGATCGCAACCCTCAGTGTCACGCCCATACCGGACCGGGGATCGGCAACGGGACCGCAAACCTCGGTGCTGCACCCGCACCTCGCTCAGCCAGTGAGCGGGAACCGGTCTGTATGTGGGATCCGAACCCTCGGCGGGAGCGCCACCACACTTCCCAAGCGGCGCACTGTAGCAGTGCGCCACCGGGCCGGCCCAAGGATTTTTTTTTTAATTGTTGGAATCTTTTCCAAGAACCAGCTGAAGATTTGCACTGAAATACAACTTGTATGCCTTTTGCATTTTTAAAGCCTGCTTCCTGAATTTAAGCAGAGTGATAGAGTTCAAAGAGCCAGCTTAGCCTGTAACATGTTTGAAAAAGATATATCTGCACTTTGAGGTCCTTTTCAAATGCCATTTGCTAGACCTCTCAAACACTTTCTTTAATTGCTACATCCAAGCGCCTCACAAGTCCACGATGCTGGATGCTATATGACATCGAAAATTCTAGACTTTGGAAAAAGCTTGTGGGCTTGCATTGGGGGAGGGAAGGGAACAAAATTTGTGTATTTGTTTAATTTAGAAATAAGGCATCTAAGAGATGCCATTATTTTCTGTGTTTTAATTGTTGTGCCTTTGAGTTAAATTGCATTTTTGTCTTTTGGTTGCAATATGAAATGTACTGTCCCAATATAAAACAGTAATTATTTGACCTTTGCACTGTTTGTCTGGTCCTTTTCAATTTGATTGCATATAAATGTGGAACTTGATAGATCTCTATATTTTTAATACACTTGTGATAAACTGACACCAGGGTTAGACATTACTTTCAAAGCTTGAGGTGTAGATGAGTCAGCATGCTAGACAGGCTTCTCTCTAACCAAAACTGTAAACTTCAGGACCAGCAAACTCAGCCTAAGGCAGCTAATCCCCTTCCCCACGCAGCTGATCGGCAGCTCTGATTCACCAATCTGTCCTCTCTCGTTCACTGATCCACCAGCGTGACTGCTAAGAGCTATAAAGTCTTTTTGGTTGTTTTGTTTTTTAAGCAGAATAAAAAACCTTTATATTGGGGTTGGTGGGGGGAGGGGTTGGGCAAAGATATAAACCCCAGCCTTTAAGACTTTGACAATTGTACATAAACATAGAAGTGTATAAATATAGGCACATGCATATTTTTATGTGAAAGTTGATTTTTAAAAACTAAAAAGAAATCTAAATTGCACTCATTGATACCAATGTAATGCAGATGGGAAAGTAAGAGTGCATAGTCCAATTTAATTTCATGCAATGAGAAAAACATATATGTCTGCTTCTGTTAACATCCCTGAAAACACAGCTTTCCATCCTTGTTGGCTTTGAATGGTGGGCCAAGCACCTGGGGGGTATTTTTATTGTGGTTTTCTTTTGCTAAGCAGAGATAGTGAATTCTCCAAGGTGCTGGAAGTGATTGCTGGCTCATTTCTCTAGTCACAGACCTAATGCTAGTTTAGTAATTCAAAGAGCATAACATTTTTTGATCAGGACCTAGATTCTCCCTGTCAACTCAAGACTAAAATAATTTCAGTGTTGATTCAGAATTGAGCATTAAGTAGGCCCTGCTCCTGCAGTCTGCTGCTTCAGTGTTTTTTGTTGCTGTCTTGTTTTTATTTTTTAAGGTGGGCATTTTCCTTTAACCTCCACTTTTTTCAAAAGAAACAGAGGGTCCTCAACCTGCATTTCCTATGGGCCTCTCTCCCCCATCCCTGAAGTGGCCAAGAGGAAATCCTGGGGTGTAAGAAAAAGTATAAACTAGGTAGGATTGTGATGCTCAAAATAACTGTATAGCAATATCTTGGGGCTCGATAATGGACTTTTTTCTTCTTGCCTCTTCCCCGTCCTTTAAAGAGAGCTTATTTTTGAAAATGTGTGTGTGTGTGTGTGTGTGTGTGTGTGTGTGTATACACAGACACATTATTGTTTAGGTTTTTATACCATACTGTATTGGCAAGAATACTACCTTCAGTGTGTGTATACACACAGACACATTATTGTTTAGGTTTTTATACCATACTGTATTGGCAAGAATACTACCTTCATTGTGCTTTATGATCTATTCATTCCCCCAAATCTTGGTCTTTTCTGTTTCTTCTTTACTCATTTCTGTTTCTTTGTCTTACCCTTTTTACCTTCCCTGCATGTTGAACACCTGGTAGTAAAAGGCTGAAAGGCAATTTCCTGCATGTCAATCTATTATTTTCTATTTCTGACTCTGATGCAGTATGTTTAGGTAGCTGGCTACTGCTGATTAAAAAACCCTTCCTGGGAGAAGACAACCCAAAGACCCATTTAGATGAGGTGGTTTTTCTCATTCTACATGATCAGATCTCTGTAGACTGTAGGGTTTTTTGTTTTCAAAGATACTGGCTTGGGGGTGGGGTGCTATATGTGACTTATGATTTTTTCACTAATAATATTACATAGATAATTTTCTTATATTCTTCTGAAAGAAGAAATAATTGGCACTGCCAGATTCAGCTATTGAATAGCTGAAGAAATTGAGTATCTTTGTCTTCTCTCAAAATCATAAAATGAGAATTAGTAAGGCACCCACTTCCAAGAGTTACCTGGATTTTTTATTTTGAGTTCTATTCTATCTGGGGGGATGGCAGTTTGAGGTGGCATTCTTCATTTTAGCTTTTACTTTAGAACCAAACCTGCCTTTACCCTTTGTCCCTGGAATTGGTGCTCTTGGAATACTGCTGTTAACCATCAGTGTGGTGGGGACCATCTTCCTAATGGTAAACACAGCCTAAACAGGGGAGCAGCAGATGAAAGAGTATGAATTTCTGTTTCCAGATGTTTATTTCTTTATGTAAATATGACGCCAATGTAATCCTGTGTCAAGACCATAGAGAATGGTGCTCTTTACAACAGTTAGCACATGCATTTTTAGAAAATACTCCATGTTTTAGGGAATCTTTGCTGTGTATATGTAAACTTCTGTATTGTTCAACCGTTAACAAATAATAAATTATTTCATTATTAAAGAAATTTTGGTTTTCCTAATGTTTTGTATCCCAGTTTACCCTTTCATGGTTTATACTTACAGGAATGAGTTAATCAAATTACTTTTTTCTTTTAATTTTATGGAGAACGAACTTGCCAGAAGTTTTCAGCCCTTGGATTCTGTGATAAAGGCTTTGGATCGCATGGCTTCAGCTGAGCCCATGTGTTGATCAGAATTATTCCCAACGCCATCCTCTCCACTGCCGTGTGACCCACTTACCCATTTCACCTGCTTATTCACTTGCTCTTATCTGGCTGGCTCTTCATCACAGATGCCCCTGAAGACACAGGCAGCATGCGGGGGTCATAGGAACCACCAAGACTTCTCCATCTTTTGAACAGCCCATAGTCTGGTGGGAAAGACATACACATAATTTAATGCAGTGTAGTTAGTTGTGGAGTAAAGTTGTATAAAAAAGCTCTACGAGAAATCCCAGAGGTGGTGCATTCGAGCTGGGTCCTGGAGAAAGAGTGGGTTTACGGGGAAAGTGGACATGCAGTGCTCAGGAAAGGGACCGGCTCCGTGGGGCTGAGGTGCGCCCTGGTGCACGTGGAGGGAAAGACCTCATGAGCCACACAGTTCATGAGAGGGGAGAGGCACAGGTTTATGATGTTCTTTTACGTAGTAACCCTTTGGGTTAATTTGCATTTATTCATTCATTGAACACATACAAATTGAGCACCTACTCTGTGTCAGGCTCTGTGGTAGGGCTGAAGACACATCAGTGAACAAAACACAGAAGCCCCTGCCTCACGGAGCTGCCTCTCTGGCATGAGTCTGACTCCGGAGCCCAAGTCCTCGTCTTGGCAAACAGGCTGAGCGCGCAGTGCATCCTCCGGACCGGGTCCTTGCTCCCCCAGGAGAGCACTTGTTAACAGTCAAGAGGAAGGGAAAAGGTGGCTTTCTCCTTCCTTCTTGACCAGTGACTTCTTATTCTAAAAACTAACACAATTTTTTGGAAGGTTTTATGGTGGTCTAGAAGTTAACTATAATGGCATTTAGCCCGCAGGTCTTATAAAAAAAAAAAAAACTTTCTGATACTTCTACTTTGGAGAGGTGGCCTGGCTCATCTCCTTTCTCCAAAAAGTAAGGGCAACGTGCTGGGGGGATTCTAGGGTCCGTCTCCATGGACAGGCTTCAAATTGAACCCACCGAACAGTGAACTGTTAGCAACATCAGTGAAAGCTTTGTTCTACCAAAGCATCAGGATCCCTTGTTTACTGTGGCTGAGGAGAGGAAGCTCTGAACTGTAAATAATTATGAAGACAGCTTTCACATGAAGATAGCCTCCCCCACAAGATGACAAATCTTATTTCCAGTTTCCTGACTTTGTTCACAGTAGCCTGATAAAAAAAGTATCTTTTGTATGCTGTGTGGGTCCATGTCATAGTAGCGGTCAGCCCACCTTTACAGAGTGCTTGCTAAGGCTGGACGCTGTGCTATAGTGCCTCAGGGAATCTGGGGGGGGGATGCTATCATCCCATTTTACAGATAAGGAAACTGAGGGAGAGAGAGGCAAGGCTTTTGACCCATAGTACACCGAGCTGGTGAGGAGAGTGATTGGGAACCTCAGTAGTCTGACTCGAGCCCCACACTCCCTTGCCTCAATTTTTGCAACAGTTGTGTCAAATTCTCATCAATTGTCCATATATAGCATCTTTTCCTTTTTAAGCTTTTGAATGAGGCTACCTATTTTCTATGGAGCTGGCCTGAGGTTCCAGCTAGTGGAGTAGAAAACTGGGAACCCACAAGACAATTTTGGATTGTCATTGCTAAGTCATTGTCCTCCCCTCGATCTTAACTTCCCTCTGTGCCTATTGTGAAGAATA